ACATCCAATGCGAGCGTACGGGCTGGTGACGTATACAGGTCTGGCGAAAACACAGGGTTGCGATTGAGCAAGGGGTCCATGCACGTCTGGCCATGCCAGGTCGATCGCCAAAAACTAGCGAGACGAGGCAGCGCGGCAACTGAGAGGTCGCCGACGTCGCACAATTGTGGGGACGGGGTCAATCGATCACCAGCCTTCAGGCCCAGCGAAGGCACGTCCCTCATGAGAGGTCGCCTTCGGATACCGTTGTGCCATATGTCCCAAAACAGCACCCTTCGACGCAATTATTGCGGTTGCCTGCTTCAGTTGATAAGAATACTACGTGCTCGAGCTGTTGACACTGCCTCTCATACTCATGCAGCTCGGATGTCTGGCCCCAGAGGTCCCCATCGAGATCCACATAATCATGCGCATGCATGTTTTCCAACAGCGTGTGGCACATGAAGCACGGATGAAATGTATTACCCAGCCCTCGCAGGCCGAACGTCACATATTGTTTCATTAGATCGCCTTTGATCCAAAACAGCACGCCCTTCCTGAGAGGCTGACCTGCCAAGTCCCCCCTCCAATCCCCTGGAAGCCACGGGAATCCGTAATGTTGAGTCGACGGATATCGGCCTCGAACAATCGCGCGCACGAACTATAAAATCGGTAGCATTATGGGATAATGCGCATACCATCCTCGACAACCGCACCGACAGGCCTCGGATTTCCCCAAGAATGCGACAGAATGCCTCCGTGACTGCGGCAGCAGATGGAAAAATATACTTAACAACGAATCTGCCTTTCCAGTTCGATCGGTCCTGGTAAATCGGATCCCGTCGGCATACAGCGCGAACGGAAGCGGTTGTTCTGGCGCGCGCACGGACCCCAGGGTGCCATTGATAAATGTCAGTCTATTCTTGCAATTCATCGTCGTTTTCCAAAACCTCGGGTGCCAGAGACGGTGTATTATCACTTTCATGTTGCAACGACTCATGCAATGTCCACGTTGGGATACGTTTTGTCGTCCGACCGACGCCCTTGATGTGAATTGGAACATTCATCCAATAGAATTCGTTTTCTTATTTTCTGGGGATCACAGAGTTCATGTGTTTATGGAAGTACCAGTTCCGCTTTTGGGGCGCATGGCAAGATCACACACGCCACCTTCACATCCAGCCTCGCGTGCGAAACAACTTGACGCATGCATCTTTAGTTGTCATCTGTTTGGAAGACGCGTACATTGCAATAAAGTATTTGAGCAAATCCTCCCCTGCCTGTTTTCGCCTTGCTGCCCTCAATCGTTGCGCAAGCCAATCTCTGCCCCAATCTTCGCCCCAACATTGTCGATCTATGTTTGCTGAGGGCGGGTTGGAGCTCCGATGACACGTTTCGTTTCAAAATCAGAGGCACACTTTCGAGCCACACAGGCTACGGACAGTTGCGCCTCGCCGAGGTGCAGGCGCTTTTTTTTGCAGGGTGGGGGGGGGCCCTAAAACACAGGGCCCAGCAGGGCTCTGTAGGGTGTGGGTGTCAGACGCGGTGGGGGCTGCCGGCGCGTGTTTTTGTAGGGGGGGGTCTCTAGAACAGAGGGTCCAGCAGGGGGCGCGGGCGGATCGGGCGGGTGGGACATTAACGTACAGTGGGAGCCCATGCCAAGAAACAACCCGCTTTCCTCCAGGGTGCCTTGGGCTTCTTGGGTTTCGATGGTTTTGCTGTGGAGAGCCCTGTGTTCCCGTCCTGGGGTCTCAGGGTTGGGCTTCTTGTGGAAGATTTCTTGTGGATCGGCCCCCACTGTGTGACGGATGACCGAGTCAGCACACAGATTTTAGCGGGCGGGTCGGGTCGGGCGAGCGGACCCTAATTTGTTCGAAAGGGACGCGCGGCGGACAGGTACTTGGTTGGCGGGCCAGCGGGCGGCGGGTCGGGCGGGCGGGGAATGAAAGAAGTACGCAAATTCGAAGCGGCACGCGCTCGCCCTAACGAACCAGTCGGGTCAAGCGGGCGGACCTTGACGGCCTCGATACGTGGTCGTTCCCGGCGCCAGGGTGCGAGGGGGAAGCCAGGCTTCCCGAGCTGCACCTGTGTTGTTCGGTAACCCCGAGACCTGAAAAAGACGACGGCGGCTTTTCGTCCGACGTTTTCTGGTCTGGGGTCCCCAGCGGCTTGCAAGCACGACGCACGGCACGTTTTTCTGCACGAACGTTGGGGTAGAGAGTTCTAGGGCGCTACACGTTTAACGCAACAATAAGATTCGTTTGACTTATCATTGTTTGCATGTCAGGCGTATGCATGCAAGCAATGAGGTCAAGCGCTGATCGAATAAGTGCTTGAGAGGCTTGGTGGGCAGAGACACTAAGACAGTTGCATGCCTGAATCAGAAGTGTCGGGCGCTCTTGGCGCAGCAGAGCGAGAACAATGGAGGTTTCTTGATGCAGCCTGTGGATATGGGAGCGGCGCCTTAGATCAGAAATTTCGCGATTGTAAGCATGAGCCTGCTTGTGCATTCGGTTGGACTTGCGTGATCATTACGATGGCACGGTGTTGCGAACCACGTGGACCTGTCCGCGAAGAGGCGCGCGCGAGAGCGTTCGTGCGCGAGTGTGATACGGTGGGGGCGTTCGTTAAGGAATGTGCCCAGCAGGCTGCAGACCCTGGAGGATTCCTGATCTGATGAAGGCGGCGGTGATATCCATGGCCGATCCACGATTGGAGTTCCACTGGCTTGCAGACCCTGGAATATGTATCTAAGGGTTCCTTATCAAATGCCCCCACCGTAGCTGGCGCACCATGATATACGCAGCAAGTTGGCCGCATACCTCAAATGGCACAGCAGGAGGCATGGATCCCACAGAGAGAGCATGCGCATGACTGGCTGTACCAGCACACGATATTCGTACGCAAGGCGACACCATGGTAACGTCGGTGTGACGGTAACCGATGTCATGATCATCGTCGTTGTTGCATTGGCAGCACTGCATTGGGACAGCATTCGGCACGGTAGGGCTTCGCACGGATGAGCGCGCAAGCGTATTGTTTGTGATTTGTTCGGTTGTGATTCAGGTGCGGCATGGTTGGTTTGACATCCGTATGAGTTGGCGCGCACAACACGGATAGAAGTCACGACATGGTTAGAGTTAGTGTTTGAGGGTGCGGCACGTTTGGCGAATGAAATCCAGCCGTTTGCGGCAAACCCCGCCACCGTGCTTGCTCAACAGCGCAGCAGGAAGGAGACTGAGTGTAGGAACAGCGGGTCGTGAACTGGACCTCGCCTTCGTTCGCGCGGTAGTGGGAAGGTCGAGTTCATTGCAGTCCAGTAACTAAGCGGTCTGAATTGAGGCGATCCGTGAACTCGACCTCATCTTCGACGAGGAGGGGGAGGAGGAGGAGGACGAGGAGGAGGACAGGAGGAGGACAGGAGGAGAAGGCACCTTATGGGATTCTCTGGAGGCCTCTTTGGAACCTGCTGGGGTCCTCTTGGGGGCCTGCTGGTGGCCTCGTGGGGCTTTTGGGGTGCATCTTGGGGCATGTTGGGCCGTCTCAGTGGGCGTTTGGCACGTCTGACGCCTGCGGAGGTCGTCCTGGGGAGCCTCCTTGTGCCGTCGGGGCCGTCGCGCTGCCCTCTTGGGGCGCTTCAAGGCCGTCTTGAGGACCTCTTGGGAGGCTCTTGGGCGATGTTGGGGGGGCCCTTGAGCAGACGTGGGGCTCCCTTCGGGGGCGGCGTCATGGGCTCTGTTGAGCCGATGTCGGGTCCTCGTTGGGAGCCGGATGGGCTATACTGGAGTAATTTTGGAGGCCTTTTGGGCCTCATTGGACGGTCGGGCACCCACGCTGGTGAGAATTGCCAAACCATGTGCGCACGTGAGGGAACTCGATGCATCTTGGGGCCTATTGGGCCGTCTTAGGGTGGTCTTGGCCCGCCTGGCGCCTTCGGAGGCCGTCCTGGGGGGCTCTCTGGGCCGTCGTGGTGTCCTTCTGGTGCGCTGTGGGGCCGTCTTGGGGCCCTCTTGGAAGGCTCTTGGGCAGTCTTGGGGTACTGTTTGGGCCGACCTGGGGCCATCCGTGAGCCTCATGGGCTGCCTCGGAGCTCTCTTGGGGGTCTCGTAGGCCGCCCGGGGCGGTCGGAAACCAACGCAGGCCGGAACCTCAAGTCTCTCAGTCCTTTCAAAGCCTGTGGAGCATCAAGCGTCGCCTCCTCGGAAGCCTCTTCGGGGCCTCTTGGGCCGTCTTAAGGGTCTCGTGGCCCGCCTGGCGCACTCGTAGGCGGCCGTCCCAGGGGGCCGTCTGTGCCCTCTTGGAGCGCTTTATGGCCGTCTTGGAGCCCTCTTGGAAGGCTTTTGGGCGATCTTGGGGTCCTCGTGGGCTGACTCGGGGCCCTCTGGGGGAGCCTCATGGTCCTCGTGGGCTGACTGGGGGCCCTCTGGGGGAGCCTCATGGGCCGTATTGGAGCTATCTTGTAGGCCTCTTGCGTCACCTTGTACGGTCTGAAACCCTAAGGGGTGAGAACCTCCAAATCTTTCGAACGCCTGAGGGGCATCAATGCTATTTGCCTCCTCGGGCTCTCCTGGAGGGCCTCTCGGAGCCCTCTCCGGCCGATTTGTAAGCCTCTCGAGCCGTCTTGAGGCCGGGACCTTCTTGAGCTGTTTTGGGCCTTTTTGCGCCGTCTTGATGTTATTTTGGTTGTCTTAGATGCGATCTCGGAGGCCACGATGGCCTTCTACAGGCCGAACAGAGCGTTGGAAGCCACGCCCAACATGGGCGAGTTTCGAACAACGCGCGCTTGTGGGAAGGGTCCCTGGGAAACCTTCCAGACAAAAGAAAAGCATTATACACGCCCACTCCGTGCAGGCACGTTGGCGGATTTCTGTTCATGTTTATATTCGAGGTGTTTGACCATACCTAGTTCAATACAACGACTAGTGACTAATGAACGAATGGAGTTGGTCAGTTCGGGAGCATGGGCCAGACGGGGAACCAAATGAAAGCAACAATGCGCATGCCATCTCTTCAACTTGCAGGCCTTGTCTGCGAAGTTGCAGCCGGAGATTCCACGGTTGAAGCAGTTGGTGCAGGAGCGTGCCACAGAGGTCGGGGAGAACGCGAAGGCTTTCGTATGCTTAGAACTCGAGGATGTCGCAAAGAGTCTCAGGCAAGTCATGGCAGAGGACGAGGCGGAGTTGATGTTGGAGTGGAACGCCACAGTCGATGCGAATCTACCTCCGATGTCGGTCATCTTGTCAGGCTGTATGTCCCCAATCATTATGTCCACGGCGCTCCTGAATCACACCCTGCAGTTCTTCATGCTCTTCTTGCCGGTCGCTGTGCTTTGCGTTGCAGCGATGATCAACGACCATGGGGCCCAGATTTGCGTCATTCCGACATTGAAGATTTGGCTGTGGGTTGGCGGCACTTTGTCAATCTTGCTTTGCTTGACCCACGGGGCGATGGCGGCACGCATCTATCTCGGCCAGAGGGCGATCTCTAAGAAAGCTGAGGACTCCGTGCTGCGGAAGGGGGGCAGGGGGCATGGCAGCAGGAGCAGCGTCGGCATCAGCAGAGTACCAATTTTGCAGACGGGGGCGGTAGAGGAGGACGACGGCTGGGGATTGGGCCAAAGGAATTGTTCAGAAGCCAGGCGAAGGCTGGCAAACCCGTGGCTGCTAAAACGGAGCTCCGGGAAATTGTGTTTCTCTTCCGGGCAGCAGCCTGTTTACCAGTTGGTGCGCAGAGCTTGATTCCGGGAATCCGTTTTTTTCTTGCCGGGAAGACCGTTTTAGCAGCCACGGATTTGCCAGCCCTCGCCCAGCTCCGAGCCAAAGGAGATGTGCAAGGCTTGACCGGAAGACTCATCAAGTGATGATCGGGCCGAACGAAAGGGGGTTATAGGGAAAGGGGGGTTACGAAGCCTGCTGCATGCAGCTGCTTTCAGCCCCACCGAGGGGCCCATTCCTCGATGCATGGCCGCCTCCGGCGCCGGGAGGCGCTGGGAAAATCAGCTACGCGAGCTGGTTCTCAAACCCCCCCTCTGCTATCCCCCCTTTCGCCCGGCCCCAGAGGAGCAGAGGCGGCGGGAGGGGAACGGGGGCAGAGAGAGGCACACGACGGGAACCGGGCGGGCAGAGGTGGCAGCCCCCAGCGGCACGCCAGTGGGGGAGCGCCGCGCCCCTTTCGGCCCTCCTCCTCGGGTGCCCCGGGGGTAAGGAGAACAGCTGGAGAGGGCGGAGGACGAGGCCGCAGTGAGCGGCCCAGGAGGCGGCCGCGACCAGAGGCCGGCGCTCAGGTGGGGCACGTCCGAGTGTTTGTCGGGGCTTGCAGTGCGCCCGGGTGCTGGGCGTGTGCCTCATGCGTTTGAGTTCTTGGCCTCACAGCTCTGCGCTCGCGTTGGTTCCAGGGGATGTGCCTCAATTTCGTGCCAGACGGATCTGTGTGGGGTTCCAGAGAGTCGGCGACTACAAAGGGTCTGGTTGCGCCGGGATGTGGTTTGCGATCGGCACCGTTGGGGCCTGGGGGGGCACGACATTGTCCTCGTCGGGCCTCCTCGGGGCGCGGGAGAGCTCTATGGAGGTCCCCGCGCGCCCCCTAGGGTGCCCCCCAGGATGTTCCCCAGGGGAAAGGGGTCGTCGTCTCCTCCTCGGCGGCAAGGGGCGGAGGGCGGCGGAAGCAGAAGCTGCGCCTCCAAGAGGTGGCAACATGTTTGAGGTGCAGGGTTGCTGCAGTCGGCCACGTGTACCTGAACCCCGATGGCCGACGTGAAGCGCTGTTCCGTGCGGTTGGCGCAGTCCTTCGTCGGCGTCAGCGGTCTGTCAAGAGGGCGCCCGCTGGCTCGCATCAGGGACGACGCGTGGCGCTGGGCAGCGTCGGCCAATCGAAATTCGCTCGACGGCGGCGTGCAGTGAGACCAAGGGGGTCGACAAGCGAACAGCCTGCCAGAACCACCTCAAGGATTACGTGCACAAGAGCAGGCGGACGTGCAGGGTCACCGGGGTGGGGAGGACCCTGCGTCCCGCGCGTCGCATCGGGCCCATGGATCTTCACGGATCGATGAGGGTCGAGACGCTTTACCGCACTACAGGAGGATGCGAGATTTTCACGGCGTCACACGGTTTTTCTCATCGTCGGATCTCAGGGGAGGAGGAGCCCCGAGGATGGCTTTTCTCTTTGCCGGGCCGCAGTTCTGCCCTGCATGAGGCCAACCGGGCCCTGCGCATGGCGACCGCACCCTGCTTGAGCTCTGCAGCTGTGGTAGTCGCGCCGTACCCGGGACGTCCCAGAACTCTGCGACGGCTCGGATCGGGCGAGCGGGCCTCCGAGAGGAGACCCCTTTTTGCCTTGCGGCCCCTGTACCAGGGCTCGGACGTACCAGGAGCCACGGCGTCCGCTTACGATCGGCGGCCTGGTTCAGAGATGCGCGCGCACCTGGTCTGTCCAGCATCGTGGTGCCTGGGACGCTCCGAGGGCCCACCAGGCTCGAGACTGGGACGTACCGTTCCGGGGTCGGCACTGGTGGCTCGTCCCTTCTCGCGGGGGCCCCCCGTCCCCCCTAGAAGGAGCTGGACGCGCTCATGGAGACCGGGCCGCCGGACGTCGCCGTTCCCGCGCCGTCGTCGCAGGAAGTCTTCATGCGGGGGCGCTCAGCGTCTCCGCCGCCTTCGCCGTCGTCCTTCGGCCACGCGCAGAGGGGGGCAGGTGGAGGGGGGAAGGCTTCTCAGAAGCACCCTTGCTTCTTAGAAGGCGCGGGCCGTGTTTGTAGATGTAAGGCCGGCGCCTTCTAAGAAGCGGCCTCCTTCTAAGAAGCCTTCTCCCTTCCCCCTGCCCCCCTCCGCACGCCACCAAGTCCTCTTCGCCGTCGTCGCGGTCGTCGGGGTCGTGGCGGTGGCCGTCGTCGGCGTCGCGGTCGAAGGCACCCCGCGGCCGCCCGCCCGCGAGCGGCGGCGGCCAGCTGCTGCCCGGCCGCCCGCCGATTGCAGCGGCCGGCGGCGGGCCGATCGCGGCGGATCGTCGCGGCGGGCGTGGCGATGGTCTGCGCCTCGTCCTCCTCTTCCTCCTCCTCCTCCTCCTCCTCCTGTCCCATTTCCTCCTCATCCTATCCCTTCTCCCCCCCTCCTATCCCTCCTCCACTCGGACGGGGCTAGCACAAGGAAACATCCGTTCTGGAACGCTCTGAGAAGACCGCGGCACCCGATACATTTCCAAGGGATTCTCGACTTATCCGTACCCGATGTTGTCCTCGTGCTAAGTAATTTCTTATTACGTTCCTCCTCCTCCTCCTCCTCATCCTCCTCCTCATTCTCCTCCTCATCCTCCTATCCTTCGACTCGTTCATTATGTCTCGTGCGTGCCTGGTGAATGGCACTCCCACCTTGTTGTCGATAGCTCTTGCTATCGATGGGTTGCACGCTGCATTCAACACGCAGCGTGCAAGTGGGTCAACAAGGCCTGGAGCTGCCCGTCTCGCCTTTCACGCTCGTCTTCGAGCCCAGGCCATCCGCTCTGCCGCCGCCCGTGAATTAATCGCGATCAGGTCAAGGACGGATTGACATTGTTGCCCTCTTCTCGTCTCTTGCTCTTTTGCGCCTACCCTCGTCTCTTTCTCATGTCTGGTCATGGCTCCTCCTTATCCAGAACCCATTTCTCTGCAGCATGTATTCGTGTTCTTCTTATCTTAACGGCTTCGCCCTCTGCCGCCGGCCCCCTCTATTACTATTGCGAGCGGCTGCGTGGATAGCGCCGTGGTTGCTTCTCGTGGCAGGATTCTCGGCAGCGTCTGCGGGTCATTGTTGGAGCTTCTTGGAAGCCGTTTTGGAGCCTCTCGGGCCATGTTTTGAGTCTCTTGGGGGTCTACTTGGGGCCTCTTGGGGGGGCCTCTTGCGGGCCTCCTGGGTCCTCTTTGGACCTTCTTGGGGCCTCCCAGGACCCTCTCGAGGCGGAAAGGTCGAGTTCTCGGTTCGTGGACTCTTTCTTGGGCCTCTCTTGGGACCGTCATAGGGCCCTTTTCCTGGGCGCCTCTTGGGCCGTCTTGGGGCCCTCTTCGGCCGTCTTGGGGGTATCCCGGGCCGTCATGGGAGCTTCTAGGGCCGTCGTGGGGCGATCTTGGGAACCGCGTGGTCCGTCTGGGAGCGTCGGAAAGTCGAAAAGGCGAGAAGGCCAAAAACCTTCGATGTTTGCTTCGTGGGGCCTTCTTTTGAGGCCTCTTGGGCCGTCTTGGGGCCATCGTGGGACATCTTGGGGCCATATTGGGCCGTCGTGGGCTCCTGAGGCTCTCTTCGAAGACTCTTCGAGCAATCTTGGGGGCCTCTCGGGCCGTTCTGGCCGCTCGGTGGCGTCATGATGAGAATCTTGGCGTGACCTGGAGTAGCCAAGATTTGAGGTTCACCCCCCCGTTGGTTGTTTGGTGGCGCGGCGCGGCCCCCTAGCAGACAGCAAACAGGAGGCAGAAAACAGGACTGGAGAGACAAAAGGCCAAACAACAAATGACAACACATAACACATGACAGCAGACCGCACACACCTTCGCAGCCTTGCGCCCTCGGAAGGGGCTGGCGGATTATTTCGAGTATTATCATTACCATGGTTGCCGATATTGGCGCAGAAGTTGCCCACGTCAGGTCGCGCGTAAGGCGCTTTCGTCTCCAATGTAGCGTTCTGTGCTGGCGACTTTCGTGGGCCACCACGGAAGGTCGCTATGCCATCTCGCGTAAGACCCGTGTGTCTTCGTCGCCCACTTGTCGGAAGCATCCAGATGCGTCCTGACTCGACGACACGTGAGGGTCGAGGGCAAGTCTCACCTAAGGCGGGGATCCATACTGCTCCAGTCCGCAGCCCACCTGCACCACGAGATCCAGACGTCTATCTTCTACAACATCAACGGGGCCTGCACCCTGATGTGGCTCCCCGCAGCGGCCAGAGCTGCGCCATATCGGGGAGGAGGAGGAGGAGGAGGAGGAGGAGGAGGAGGAGGAACACCAGAGCAAGCCCAAGATGCATCTACGATGCTGCAATACACCCTCCCATCCCGAGTCCCCTCCCCGTGTCACTACCAGTTTTCCCATGTCGGGAAGCCCATTCCCATGGACACACGAACGCCCCACGGGCTGCCACACGGGCGATGCCCCGAGCGCAAAAGGACCCACCGTGAATCCCACGAGCCATAGGCATTACAAAGATGTAGAGCTACAGCGTTGGACGACGTGTCCATCCGTAGCGTCGTTGTCACAAAGATCTGCTCTCAATCCGTGTAGGCGCTGCGCAGACGTTGGAGGAAGTGTCCATCCGTAGTTTCATTTTCAAAAAGATGTGCTCTCAATCCGTGTAGGCGTTGCGCAATGGAACATGCATTGTTGAAGTTGGCAGACCATGCGAAAGTTCCATGGAACAGGGCCCGCCATCCATCCGTGCAGCCACTGCGCAATTTCGAACTTCGTGGTGTACGGTGTACATGTTACGGGAACCTCACTTTGAAAAGCATCGGCTCTCTACCACTGTACTTGTTTGATCCGTTGGAAGACGAGTTTGCGCGACGCTACGGCGAAAGCGCAAGTTTGAAAGCGAACCGCCCCCCATCGGTGTACTCTCTGGAGTTGTTTAAGACGAGTGTGCGCGGCGCCAAGGCAAGGGCCCTATATAGAATATCAATTGTATTGCGTCCGTGTGGTTGCTTGATTGTTCCCCGCCGGGAGGTCGTGTTAATTTGTAGCTCTTGGGAAATAAGATTCCCGACCCGGTTCGCCCTTCCTGCGCACCGGGGTTGACACACCTCAAGTGTCTTGGTGGTCCAGGGGTGTTCAGCGTCGCCCGCCTTGCAGATTGCGGCCGTCAGGCCCCAAAGATCCCCGAGAGCCCAGTGACACAATAATGAACAAGCATGTAGAGGAGGCGTAACTAACAGACACCCCATCCCACCCCACACCAGACAGGCAAAACGACGTTACACTGTCCATCTACATGTAAAACAACCACAGAGCATTCACTAAGGATGGATATCACGATGTTAGACCGAGGGCATACATGAAGACCGTACACCAATGATAGTCATCAAGAACATACACCAAGAACAGACATGAAAGACACGCGTTAAACCCAGACAGCTGCAGGAGGCATCCAGGGCATATTTCAGGAATTGGTAGCAGCACCCTATATCAACAATCTACGCACATGACACAACATTGACAAACAGCAGATTCGTACACCAACGACGTCTATCGCGGACATCGAACATATCAACGAGATGCACCAGCGACATACATCGATGACATACACCACACAATAACAAGCAGAAGGAGCGTGCACCGATGGCAGGCATCCAGAACATACACCGATAATTGACAACAGTAGCACAAATCGAGAACAGTCACCATGACATGCTTAGGTGGTCCCTGGATATCCCGCCTCGACCGCCCTGCATATTTTGGCCGCCAGGCTCGAAGAGCCCAGGTGGTCCATGGATACGCCCCGCCCGCCTCGCATCTTGCGGGCACCAAGATCCACAGATCCTTGAGAGGCGAATGACTGCACAATACAGAAGCGTGCAGGCCAGGCGTAACTAACAGACAACCCCACCAGGGAGGCGTCACGACGTCACGCTGCCAAGACATCGCGACGCCACGCCGTCCACAGACACCTGGAACACACATTCAAATTACGCACTGAAAACGTGCATCCAGAACACACGTCGGGAACAAGCATAAACACTGCACACGAGTGCTAGACATCAGACGCATACACCAAAAGCAGACACCAACAGCATTCACCAACAGCAGGCATCAGGAGCAGGCACCAATACCGCACTCTCACAACACGCATCCAACGCATTCCTCGGCAACACACACCAACCACGCACACGCATCCCATACGCCAAGAACGTACGTGACGAACGTTTACAGATCTCATTTCCCATAACATCAGCCACACACGTCGCATCAATAACCTTGTGCAAGACCATACACCAGCATAAAATGCCAATCACATACGCTCCAAGCAGGCATCGCTAATGCCCACCGAAAGTGCACATGCACATCAGACAGACACCATCACACAGAGCTACATCACACAGACCATACGTCAAGGACGCAAAACGAGAACCTTCACAGATAGCAAACACGAATACGAGCATCAATGCCCGACGACCAGAATTGCCATCAAACACATAGACCGGGATGCAGACATACCTGTCAGACATCGAGAAGGTATTCAAACAACACAAGCCAGGAACAGACACCAATAAGAAACGCCAAGGGCAGATATAAGTATTGCGCACCAATAACACATATTAAGAACAGATAACAATAGCAAGCATCATTCACTGACCAATACGAAGACAATCCACCAACAACGCACACCGATAGCATACGTCCAGAACATACATCTGCACTACACATCGAAATCACACCCCCAATACCAGACACACAGATCATACACAACGGACAAGCAGAAATTTCATACGCCAGTACCATGCCTCAAGGACGCGCATCAATACACACCAAGAGCGGACGACCATATATCCAAGGACGTTAACGCATAGCAGACAGCAGCACCTAAGACATATCAGCAACACACACCCAGCCTCTACATCAACAATGCACACCGATAGTGTACACCAATATCATATACCATACACCAAGCCCAATGATAAAGATCAGACGCCAAGAACAGGCAGAAAGTGCAGACGCCAGTAACATACACCAGTATCATACACCAAGATCCGACACCAAGGATCAGCATGAAGAACATACATCTTGACACACTGCAACCCCCTGGTAGGGATCGCCCTAGGCAGAATATGTTCAGACGAGTATGCGCGGCACTTGTGCCCGATCTTTGTAAGTAGTGGATTTGTTCAAGCTTGAAGATCGTAAGTTGAGAGGAGGTCTTAGGCGAAACGCCCCGCCTCCCTCACAACGCGTCTCGTGGTGCGGCAGGGAAGAGTTATCGACAAGAAGGGGGGATAGAGGAGGAGGAGGAGGAGGAGGAGAAAGAAGAGGACACATTGGGAGTAGCACGAGGAGGTGTGAGGGAGGAGGGGACCCAGAACGGGATGGTGCGGAGGGGGCGCGCTCTGCAGACAAGGTTTTCTCTTCCCCTCCACCCCTGTGCAAGCAGAATGTGTTCCCGGTCTGCTGTGCGGGGCAGAAATCCGCAGAATTGGGTTCAGATTTATGTCCCTGCCTCCAGCTGCGGCTCAGGGGTCAGCTGCGGCTCAAGGGTAAACTGCGGTGCAGGGAGCGAGAAGCCCGACCCTGAGGAAGCGAACGACCCCCTGGCGCGGCGTGCGGCCTCCCTCCGAGGCGGGAATTTGTACATGACCACCGCCTGGAGGGTCAGTTTTCGGAGCCTCGGCAGGCGGTGGATACGGACATGCTTTGGCTCCCGGGGGCCGATAAATATATATATAATGTGTATATATATATGTATATATACATAAATACATACATACATGCATGCATGCATGCATGCATGCATGCCTACCTACCTACCTACCTACCTACCTACCTGCCTACATACATACATACATACATACATCCATCCATACATACATACATACATACATACATACATACGTACGTACATACATACATACATACATACATACATACATACATACATACACACACACATACATGCATGCATGCATGCATGCATCATGCATGCATGCATGCATGCATGCATGCATGCATACACTATATATATATACATACATATATATATATGTATGTACATATATATTATATATAATATATGAGTAGGCGGGGGGGGGGGGGGGGGGGCAAAATCGATGCCGCCATCCCCCATGGGGTGCCCTCCGAACCTTTCGGGGGCCACAGACCCCCCAGGACTGCCCCGGGCCGCTTCCAAATTGCCCACGACAGACCACGCGGGCCGTACAGATGGTCACGAAAGCCTGAAGAGGCCCCGAAGACGCCCAAGAGCGCCCCAAGAGGGACCGTGAGGGCCCCAAGAGGGCCTTCAAGAGGCAAACATCTGCCCATTTCCCGCGTAAAACGTGCATTTTCGGCATACTCGTTGGCTTCGTCTTCACAGTGCCCCAGACGCCCCAGAGAAGCCCCAACACAGCCCAAGAGAGACCCAAGAGGACCCCAGACGGCCGAAAAGGGTCTGCCTGTGGGGCTCACGGAACCCCCCAAGACGGCCTAAGAGGCCCCGAAGCCGGCCCAGGAGGCCCCCAAGACGGCCTCAGGGAGGCCCAAGAGGGCCCCGTTCGAAATCATGTTCCCGGAAGCTCTTCCAGGAACATGATTTCCGGGCTCCCAGGGCCCCCTACTGGGCCCCAGGACAGCCTCAGCGAGACCCAAGAGGGCCCGAGATGGCTTGAAGATGGCCGAAGAGGGCCCCAAGAGGGCCTTCAAGAGGCAAAAATCTGCCCATTTCCCGCGTAAAACTTGCATTTTCGGCATACTCGCTGGCTTCGTCTTCACAGTGCCCCAGACGCCCCCGAGAAGCCCCAACACAGCCCAAGAGAGACCCAACAGGACCCCAGACGGCCCAAAAGGGTCTGCCTGTGGGGCTCACGGAACCTCCCAAGACGGCCCAAGAGGCCCCGAAGCCGGCCCAGGGGGCCCCCAAGACGGCTTCAGGGAGGCCTAAGAGGGCCTCGTTCGAAATTATGTTCCTGGAAGCCTCTCCGTGAACATGATTTCCGGGCTCCCAGGGCCCCCTACTGGGCCCCAGGACAGCCTCAGCGAGACCCAAGAGGGCCCGAGATGGCTTCAAGATGGCCGAAGAGGGCCCCAAGAGGGCCTTCAAGAGGCAAACATCTGCCCATTTCCCGCGTAAAACGTGCATGTTCGGCATACTCGCTGGCTTCGTCTTCACAGTGCCCCAGACGCCCCCGAGAAGCCCCAACACAGCCCAAGAGAGACCCAACAGGACCCCAGACGGC